AAATGATTCTATGATTCTATAATTAAAGCCATATGTTTATCACAATATTAAGTTTGAGGGAATTTGGGATAATTTTTTTTTTTAATCTTGACCTTTACAATTCTTGATAAATAGATCACTAAATAAAATCTACAGGGCCCAATGTCACAAAGTGCTGCATACCTTAGCTGCTCTCCTGCTAAACAATTAAAAGAAAATTTTCAACTTTTTGTTAGTTTGGCTGTGAATCCATGACAGCAGTATGAATTTAATCTTAGATGTAAATTGTCCCTGAAGACTTAAAGACACTGAAATATGAAAAAAAATTAAAAAAAATTTTAAAAAATTAACATACACACCTAAGAAATCTGCAAACAAAAGCCAGAGTTTGACCTGATTATCTTGACCACAAGAAGCCATCTGGAAGTATCTGAACCCATGTTCGCCATCTGACAAAATTGAAATAGATTAATGGGAATCAGAAGCACTGAAAATAACAAGGTATCAGTAAACTCCATCAGCATTCTTACACTGGAATTTGGTACATTTCCTTAATCTCAGAACTACTTTTTAAAAGTATTAGTAAAAATAACTGCAGGAGTTCTAAAACCATTTAGAAATAAGAAGTGGATATCACTGTTACACAGTTTCCTGAAAAAGTGGATCCATTGCTTCTACAGTTCTGTAGTTCTCAAACTTAACCACATACTCATGTACAAAATTTCAGAGTATCTGACAGGCTAATTTAATAACTTAAAATGTTCAACTTTTCATTTTCATAAACTAAGTGATTTTTCATGTCTCCAGCCCAGTCACAGACTGCCCATTGACGCATCGAGGGATACAGCATTGAAGAGTAAGTACAACAGCAATAGTCTTACAGCTTTCCCCTCTTTGTTCAATGGATGTGAACATTTCTGAATTACCACGTTCCATTGTATATGTGCTGTTCCAGCATATTTTTTTTTTTTTTTTTTTTAATTCTTAAGTCCTGTCCCAAATTATTTCTGTTCTTCTACTCCACAGAGAGGGCATAGGAGCCTGACACAAGTCCCAGGACGATCCTTCAGTGGCATGACCTCTGAATTTGGCACTCTGTCAGTACTGAGTCTTAGAACTCCTACAACAATCACCAAGATTAAGGCTAGAAATCAGAAAATGATAACAGACATTTTAAAGGCTCATCTTTCCAGCTCTGTAGTTACCAGAAATGTCAGAATATTTTTTACTGCTTCTGCTCTGCTTTTTTCCCCCACTGCTTCTCCTGCTTTCTTCCTGCTCTGCATCATCTTAGACCAGGTAGCACACACAGTGCAGTGCTTACTGCTCTGTTTAGCACTGAAGGACACACGTGGCAGCTCACCTATAATTTTTGGTACTTTTGAAAGAGCAGCTCATGGGTACTCTGAAAACAGAAGACTATGTATCTTTAGGGAGACCACCTTGTCTCCACAGTAGACCTGGAAACCAGGAAAGTGTACCTACAAAGTTGTTCAGACAAGCTACAGCACTTCTTCTGAAATTTGACAACGAGGTTTCTATCCAATTCCCCAGCCTCCATCAAAAGCAGATGATTACATGATTTTCTTTACTAAACACTTTTACCTGACAAAAATTTATACAAATTAACCTTTCAGCTTTTCAGACACTTATAAATATTTCAGAATTTCCAGTATTTGATTGTTTGGCTATGACATTTCCCTGTACTGCAACTAACTTGTACCAGGATATTTCAAACAGAAGTTCTTGTTTGTGCAAGTGTTTCTTCCCACTAAACAAGGTATGTAAGCTTAGACACACAACTCTTCGGTACTTACACATAATTATACAAAAAGTCTGTGCTGTGACACAGTTGCACTAACTTGGCTACTACCATAGGAGCTCCTGTGGGGCTGCATTTGGGATTTGTGCCCAAAGCAGTGGTGATAAAGTGGAACACCCGTGTGCTGCTGGGGAGCAGTGAGTGAACTCCTTGGTTTGCTTTGCAACTTTTGCTTTACCTATTAAATTCTCTTTACTTTAACCCATGATTTTCCACACTTCTACCCTTCCATTTTCTCCCCATCCCACTGGGAGAGAGTGAGTGAGCAGCTGTGTGGAGCTGCCCACCAGGGTTAAACCCCCAGAATAATTTGAAAAGCCTGTAAGCCCAAAGCAGAGTACATGCAAAGCTCCTCCTGAGCCAGCTGGAAGTTTAAGTGTGCCATTTTCAGTATAGGCGTTTCTGCATACAGAGAAATCTAGGTTCTAATTATTTTAGTTGCACAGGAACTTACAAATGTGAAATGAATAAAAACTGAACATAATATGCAATGCAGCCCTGAGAAAGGCCTACACTATGCATGCCTCATGTTTTTGATCTCAATACCCAAATATATACAAGAATATCAGATTTCATTCTCAAAAGAAAAAAAAGTTCTCGCCCGTTACAGCTGTGAAGAAGCACAATGCCAAAACTGGTGTGCAATGCCAGGGACAGGGTGAGGTCAGCCACAGCAGCTGTAAGGCATTTATCACATCTCAGTGGGACACGTGAGATTCTGGGCTCACTGCTCCCCCGATCCCTCCAGCTGAAGTCAAGTGCAGGACAACAGTCTCTGTATTCATGTCCCACAGCTCAAGCATTGGGTTTAAGTTTACAGTTCTCTGCACTGCTTTAAACCAAAGTATCAAAGAGGAAAGTGGGAATGGCAATCAAGCTCTGCATCTGCAAACACTCTCCTTAGCTCTGGAAGACAGGCATCACTTACAGACACTGCCCAAACACTTCCAAAACGTGACAGCATAATTAGCTACTGAAGACTATCATAAGCATGCTAATCACCTTGTTTGTTCAACTAGATTCCTTGTCAACAACCTGACCACAACTTATACTTAACAATATTCAGCATATTCTAAAACATCAGCTCTTCCCAATGTTATTTTTATCTTGAGTACTAATGACAAAAAGAATATTAAAAGATAAAAATAAAGTAACTCTTTTTTTCCATGCTTCTCCCCTGATGAGTCAAGTGACTAACCAGAAATTGGCTGTGAGGAAATATCACAGCAGGTAACACCAAGATCATGTGCTTTTTCATTATAAAGGCATCTCATCTTATCATCCCAAATGGTTAAATCACCACATGATGATCCAGTGACAAAGAAATTTCCATTAGGAGAAAATGCACAGGCCACCAAAGAACCATCTTTAACATTCCCAGATCTGAAAAACAAGAGTACACAGGATTTGAATTTAGAATAAGTAACGTTCTGAAGAAGTGACCTCTAAAAATGTGATCTGATACAATAAACCAAATCGTTCTAAGTTTTGGACTTTGCAACTTGGTAATAGAAGGCAGAGAAACTCACACAAACTGTGGAAAGAGATGCAAAATCAGCACAGCTGCAGGTGCCAGATCCTGCTCTTTGACTGCAGGAGGAAAAATGTGAGATGACATCCCAAGGCAGTAATTTTAATTGAGTAATCAAATGATTGGCAAATTAAAGACAATATGCATGGACTTACCATTTGAAAGGTGCAACACACTGTTAAAATTCTATGGCAGGATAAATTTTTTAAGTGAAGGATAAACACACAACTATTATAACACAGGTTTACGTGTTCACGAATGGGAAAAAAGAAATCCACAATTTATCTGTTCTGTTTTTAAAGACAAAACAGAACACCTACTAACCCATTTGATAAGCTGTAGCTGAGCAGAACACTTTGTGATTTGTGGTATAGGGTTAGTTTTGGACTACTTATACATAAAACCAAGTCACTTAAAAAACAGAAAAAGTATGATTTCTGTATTTTAACTAAGTCAGCCAAAGCACTTTGTAAAGCTGATTTTAGAAGAAAATTCCTAGCAGATATGGAAGTGGTGGTCAATCCTTGGGAAGGAAGTATAGTCAACCTAACATCCTTTAGGTTATCTGAGAGTGACCTAAAGTCAATTCAAAGTGTCTCACTCCTTTTAATAGACATAAGATGCAGCCCAGCATGCATAGTTAAAGATTTAAGTGCAGGGAAAAAAAAATCAGAGCCACAAGCAGCAGTCATACAGCAATAAATACCACGTGTTTACGCTGCCATTGCACCCTGCAGCACAGCTACTCATTCTCCCCGGCTGATAAAAACTTTATTTACTGTCAGAGGTATCAACCTTAATGCCAGAGAATGCAAAACAGTAAACTTTTCTGAGAGTCGTTCTACTCAGACCCAGGATTAGGGGCAGCCCTGACCCTAAACCGGGACAACTCCAAAAAGCCTGGTAATTAAATATTTAATTAAAACCCACTAAGTCTAATGCAAGATAAGGCACACAGCAGACTCAGGCTCTTACTAACTAACTGTATATTACGTATCATAATCTGTTGACCCACTGTTCCGAAACCAGAAACCTCCAGTATGCAATGCATCCTGATTTCATGTTAAATCAACGAAAACACTTCCACAAATTTAAAGATTAGGATCAGGATTTAGATGAAAGTTAACTTAGTATAAATTAAAGCTTTTACAGTTTGCATTGTTAAACTTAAAAAAAAAAAATAGACTCAGCACTTCACCCTCACCTACTGGTAAGCTTTTGGTCTTCTAAATCCTGTTCAAGTTTTTTGGTGATACCAGTCTGTGGTGTAAGGCTCCAACTCTTACACATGGTGCAGCACAGTACTTAAATTACGTTCTTGTCATCGTAAACAAGGCTGTGAAAATGTCTGGCACTCACCTGTACAGTTTCAAGGACTGCATGTTCCAAAGCACAACGCTCCCGTCCGCTGCCCCCGACACCAGGTATGTGGAGAGGGGCGAAAACCGGCAGACTCTGACAGGACTGCTGCTGGGCTGCTCCAGCACCGCCAGCATCCCCCCGTCGCCCGTGTCCCACACCACGGTGGTGCCATCTGTGGAACAGGAGGCTAAAAGGCATCCCGAGGGAGAGAAGCAGCAGCAGTGGACAGCGTACGTGTGACCTTCCAGAGGCGAGTACGGGAGCTCGGCGAAGTCGCTTAAAGAATAAACGCGAATTGTTTTGTCCAAGGAACAAGTGGCCAGGCACGCTGAGGAGAAGGCACAGCAGCTGACATCATCACGATGGGCTGCTACAGTGTGAATCAGCGTTGCCATTTTACCTACTTTCAAAAAAAAATCTGAAAAAGAAAGTTTAAGTTAGACTTATCTGTCCCATTTCATACATGAAACGTACTACCCTAAGACACATTATCCAGGAAAAAAGGGAAAAAATGAATTTGCAGAGGCAGATTTCTCATCTAAGCTTTGTTTTATCTTCAACTTAAATCAGGGGTCAATCACAGCAATTAGATGAGGGGTTATGACGTGGTTAGACTTAACATATCTGAACTTCCAATGCCATCATGAAATTCTGCAGTACAACATGCAAGATTAGATTAACTACTTAATGTATAGTTAAATTAGGTATTTAATTATTTAATTTATGCTAGGAAGTTTGCTGTTCAAATTTGTTACTATTTCCATCTACACTTGATACAATTGAGTAAACAGGCACTGTAGAAGACAGTGAAAGCATTAATTAGAGTTGCCTCAGGAATACGGAATCATAGGATGGTTTGGGTTGGAAGGGATCTTAAAGCTCATCTGGTTCCAACCCCCCTGCCATGGGCAGGGACACCTCCCACTAGACCAGGTTGTTCAGAGCCCCATCCAACCTGGCCTTCAACACTTTGCAGAAGAGGGCATCCACAACTTCTGTGTTCCAAAGTCTCAGCACCCTCACAGTAAAGAATTTCTTCCTCACACTCAATCTAAATCTGGCCCCTTTCAGTTTAAAACCACTGTCTGTCACTGCAGGCCCTGGTAAAAATTCTCACTCCATTTTTCTTATGATCCCTCTTTATATTCTGAAAGGCCCCCAGGGGGTCTCCCCAGCTGGAGCCTTCTCCTCTGGGGCTGCCCCAGCCCAACTCTCTCCTGCTGGGCTCCCAGCAGAGGGGTTCCCCCCTCGGGGCATTGCTGGGGCTCCTCTGGCCCCGCTCCAGCAGCTCCCTGGCTCTGCTGTGCTGACGACTCCAGAGCTGCCCCAGCACTGCAGGTGGCTCCAGCTGCATTCAGAACAATAATTTCAGGGCTAGGAGGAAACTGCAAAGAGGTGTGAGTTTATATGTATATACACACACACACATACACGCATACGTTTTCACATTTAAAAAAAACCCCCACACATATGTTCATATACATGTGGACATACAAATATGTACAAATGTACATATAAGGGCAAAGTAAATGTTCCTTTTAGGCAGCGCATGGCATTCCAATTGAGTTAGAGATCAGATCTTTGAATACTCTATTTTAGCTTCTCCCACTTTTATTAACATTCTCCTTAAACCAACGAAGCAGATTAAGCAGTGTCAACAACATGTTATCTATAGAAACAAAATCAACGTACTTCCTTCACCTATGAGAAACTGAAGTCAACAAAGCTTGACACCTGGAAAGATGAGGTCGAAAAAGGCACCTTAATCTTGTTGTTAGGCCATCTTCAGGAGCTCACCGCAGGAAAGCAAACCTAGGAGTGAGGTTTTGGGTATCAGCAGTTTAAAGTAGCTGAGAGAGCAAGGAGGATCGGGACCGTCGGTCACCAGAGAGCTGTTCAGCACTA